AGTTGATCCGCATTCTTCCTCTCTCCGTCTCTGTCAAAAATTTCGTCACCTCTAAGAATCTTAATATTCTCTCGTGTAGTATTATTACTAGTTTTTTGCCCATGTATGGACAGGTTAAACTGCGAGCCATCCCAAACTAAATCATCCGTTTGGTCTTCCTGCCCTAGCATGCAGTGTCAAGGTACAGACAATCTGTACCTTGGCAATACAACATCTTCAAGTTGCAGTCGCTCGACCTGTGCCTATGCTGGTTACTACAACAACCGTACCATTTCCACAACCACAGCCTTGGACTCAACTTGCCCCGGTGAGTGCAATTACCATGTTTGCTGTGAAATGCTAATTCCTATTTAGAAACGACTTGCTAATATATGAAGCGGGTTTTTTAGTGTTTTTTTTTGTTGGGGGTGGGGTGGGGTGGGGTGGAGACTATCAAGGCAGGCAGACTGTTTTGTGTTCATAGTTGTTGATGTGTTTTGTAGTAATCTCTTACAACTGGCCTTCTCTCAGTGGTTGTGATCTGTGATGTAAGGGCATTGCTTCCTTTGTTGACATAGCTTTTGTTATTTGAGGGTATAACTGGTGATCAACTGTGCAATTACTTGTTGATTCTGCCCTCTTGCCTCATTGGATCAGTATGAAAATTTAAAAGAAGAAACAGGGTAACAATAATTGCTTTCTGGCTGGAACTATGCCTGCTTCCACATGCTGTCATTGCAAGAAAATGTTAACTAGTAGAACTGAAACAACTTGTCTAGGATTACTTGGCTATAAATGACGCTAAAGTGTTTATAAAGAATTGATGACAGGAATATTTGTGTGAGTTTATCTATATCATACTCGACCTTCTTACAAGTTCAATCGGTTTGATTTTAAAAAAAGGCATCTGGCACGATTGTCCTGTATATATATGGTACATGCTCGGAAGATGCCATTCTACATCTCGAAATATTGTCTTTATATCTGACCCAGTATTGATTTTTTTTTCTCTTTTTGTAACTGCAACAGCATCTGATAATAACTCTTCAGCGATGAGCATGCAAGGCAGTTGGAAGAGGAACCTGTGGTTGTTTGTTCTTGTCCAGGTGTTGGTACTTTGTGTCTGGATTTAGCAGTGAGCAAAGAAGAAAATTATACACTTGTACACGATCCATGCGGAAATGTAATTGATTCCATGGGAGGAATACTACTAATAAATGTTATTGTAGGGAGGTAGATGATATGATTTGATAAGGTGGGGTGGGTCGGTCACGGTGGAAAGCATTTGATCCTCCTCATTCTACTTTATAATAAAAAGTCGAGGACTGTGATTCTTTGTTGTTGCCATTTGCCACAATACAATTCAATACTCTTAAAATGTCCCTCCACTTTATATTTTGTGTCATTTAACTATTTGAAAGACAAAAATGTCCCTCTAGTGTGATATTTTTCCTTTTTCTTTTTTCTCCCTTCTTTTTTCTTATTGGAAAGTAGTTTTCTTTTGTCAAATTTTTACTTTTAAGCAAGTAAAAAAAATTATAATAAAAAATTAAGATACCCATTCTCCAATTTATAAAAGTGAAGAAATTATATGTTTTTTTTTGTATAAATAGTTAATCATGAGTTAGTTTCAAAAATTTTGAGACAACATTTGTATTTGTATTCTATTTCCTTACAATTAAACGATTCAAAGTTAGTTACCTATTTTTTACAATTACGCAATTTCATGTCAGTTATGTGTTTTTTTTCTCTAACAAATTTTTGCTTATAAGCTTCTTTTCTTTGCCCTTTTTTTTTGTTTTGAAAATAATCAATTGTTAGTGTGCTCTTTAGTATATATATGCTGGATTTCATTGGAAAATGAAAGTGAAAGCCTTAAATATACAAACTTAGCATATAAGAGAAATGTTTTTGTGTCTTAGGAGGTGAAGTGCTTTTGTAGTCTCATTTTTTTTTTCGGAAAACGATAACAATTATATAACCTATTTTATCCTAAATTACAGGGAAGAGGGAGCTTAAAGAGACTCGTGTTAGGGACTAACAGGTACACAGACCTTACTAGATTAAATGAATAATGTTTTTGCATCACTTTTGGATTTTTTTTCTGGGATTTGAATCCCCATTTACAGAAGTCCCTCTTGGTGGCCACTGACCCAAGTTTAGTGGTTGTGAAGTGCTTTTGTAGTCACTAGCCTCAATTGTCAAATGTACAGTGCAGTGCAGTGTAAAAAGTAACATAATAAATGTAGGCACTAATATAATAAATATAGACATTAAAGCAATAAAATACAAAAAACATAACAAAGTTGGGCACTTTTTGAAATTTATATCCCCAAATAAATCTCATCTGCGCAATTTCAAATTGAACACATCACCACTATTAATTGCACCATACAATCCAACCTACAATTATATGAGCCCGTTATTCAAATTATGCCTTATCATTTATACGTTTTTTCATGATTCTTTGGTAGAAAATTTTTACAGAATATTTCCACTACACAATCTTCAATCAGATTTTACTTCACATCTATATCTATATAAATTTGAGAAGGGGTTTTAGTATGGCTAAGTTAGAATGCTTCCAACTCTTCATTTTTTTTTTTTTTTTTTTGTAGAATTTTGATTTTTTAAATTATTATATATCCTTTCATGCCTTTTGAATACAGAAAGTAAAAAATGACTCCACTTATATAGGAATTTGGTTTGAAATCTATTAATGTGAGGGTAAATAAAAAGGAAACATCACCAAACCTACTAAAAATAAAAAAGTGAACAATAATATTGTACCCTCCAACTTAGTAAGTCTAATTAAAAGGGCAAATTAGATAAAAAATAAAATGAAAATAATATTCATTGGTCATGGATTTAAAAAATCCAGAATGGTACCATTCATGAAACCTAAGTTGTGAAATCACTAACTAAAAAAACAAAGTACTACTAGCCTTCAGATATGGAAATTTTTATTTGAACTTTTTATTTTTGACGAAAAGTAATAATAAAAACAACACCAATTCTACCAAAAATAAAAAATAATAATAATATAGTTTAAGGGAAAAAAAAAAGACCATCCCTAAATTGTATCTATTTAATTTGTATATATCTGATCCAAATTTGACCCTAATTAAATTTGAATAAGAGTATAAAACCCAAACGCTAAGAATAACAGTAGGTATTATTACTTATTTTACGTATTCTTATCATTTTTTTAATATGTAAATATGCAATTGCTATGTCATTTCTATATAGATTTTTTTTTTGTAGTAGTCAAGGGTATTATAAGATATTATCAGTTTTTTGTTTGCATTTTCAAATACCAATACTATATTGTAAAAATGTTAAACCAAAATTGCAGGTTATGGTTTTCTTTTGCTTCAAATTTTGTCTTTTCAATTTTATTTTGAAAGTACAACTATAAGTATATTTTAAGTGTAAAACCAAATTCCAAGTTACGGGAATTTTTTCTTCTACTTCGAATTTTAACTCTTCAATTTGGGGGTTGTATAAGGATTCAACTTCTCCTTTGAAATTTTGAAATTATTCAATTCAAAATTTATATGAAAATAACTGAAGTTGGTAACAATTAATCCCAATGATAGTGTAACAACACCAATTTTAATCTCCAAATTCACTTTATAATAGTGTAACAATTAATACAAAAATGAAAATCTCAATGCATACAGGGCATGATATATACACATGTATGTATATAATTCTGTGATATTACTTTATTCTGATTGAGTGGATAGAAGAAAGTGGAAGAAATAGAGGAAAGGAAAATAGAGGAGATTGGTCGTGGGTGATAGAGGTTGGAGGAGGGCTATCCAATGGTTTGGGAGAATGATGAGGGGAAAGGGACTAAAAAATTAAGTGGCGAGAATAGGACGTTGGGAGGGAAGAAAATAGAGAGGAGTTAAAGAGTGGCGAAAAAAGTCGAAAAAAGAAAGTGAACAACAAGGCTGCGGTAAGGGACGAGGGAAGAAAGAAGGGAATTATAGGAATATGTCAAAAATGGTAAAAAAACGATAGGAAGGATGACACCTGGTGGGAGACGTGTGAAAGTCACAAAAGGCAGCGAATGGCCAGTTGGCAGATAAGAATAGATCGAAAGGGTAATAGTTTTTAATAATTTTGAAAACTCTAACAATATATCTTACAGAAGATTTTTTTTTGTAATCAATATTAAAGTATATGGAAAACACTATTCTATGAACACTCAACAATTTTAAGGGTACAAGATGGGAGAAATAAATTTTCTAAAATCTAGAAAAATGAATTAGTTATAATTTATGTTTTTTATATTATAATTTTTCATATATGGATATACTATGATATCTTTCGTCGACTATTGATAAAAAGGTTTATAATTGCTCTATCATATAAATCATTATAACTTAAATTTTTTATTCAAATTCTTATCGTATATTGAGAGACAATATGCAAAGAAATTTTGGTTTCAATTTATTTAAGAAGTTAAAATTACGAGAGTCCATTTTGTGCTCACAAAGTAAAATTTTTTTTTAACAAGTTAAACATACACTTCTTTGAAATTTTTGCTCTTTTTTATGTACTCTATCATGCACTACAATATATAAGTATGAATTATTATTTTGAATTGAAATATAAATCATTGCATAGCACGGGTCAAAATGCTAGTATAGAAAGTGTTACAAAGTAATTATTTGTCAAAAACTTTTCAAAAATGCAATCCCAACGAGATTATAAGTGACTAAGGCCCTATTTGATAATTCAATTCAGTACTTAAATTTAATAGATTCAGATATTAACATGTTAAGCTACGTTTGATGACTAAAAAGTGAATATTTGAATTAATTAAATGACACTGAATTTACTAGATAAAACTTACTCCAAAAAATAAATAATAAGTTATTCACTTATCATTGAATATTGATATAAATTCAAATATGTTAGATTTAATAATTAACAATCAAATAATTTAATGAATTCAGATTTCAATTTTCAGACTTTAATTTTATGAAACGAGCAGAGATTGGTCCGGTGCGGTTGGGGTCCCACATAAGCACCGGCACCGGCACCGGAGACTAGACGGGGTGCAGTCCGTATGACAAGGCAAGGCCAACTGGGGAGTCCTTTGCGAAGCCGGCCGCTTCCCAGTTCCCACACCTCCCCCGCTCTCTCTCCTGCATTCTTAAACCCCCTCAGATGGACACATAAAATCATACGCTACTGCTACTGTAACTCACTCTACCATATGATATGAGTGCCAGCTCCGCCATCAACCCAACACACGATTCATCAATTTGTCTTACTAACTTCGGGTGTGTCTTTGTCATCCTCCAAACCATCCTCCTCTAATCCTCTGTTTTGCATGCCTATTCATAGTATTTGATTGTTTTGCATGCCCTTGTTACTACTGTCCTGTTCTTCTTCTGTCTTCCTAACTCTCTGCGTAACTCCATTACCCTTTCAACAATGATCATAGGTCTCAAGTTCAGGGATATATATATATATATTTTTGGTTTTCTTCCTCCCAAACCTATCTCTGCTTCATTTCCTTGTTCGTGACTTTGCTCAATTATGACCCATCCCCTCCCCCTTCTGACGGTTTATTTCTTTTTCTTATCTTTTCAACCAGGACTGTGAGATATAGCACCAAGGTTTTTATCCTTTCCCTTATTTTGTTTCTTGAGAGATGGCTGCCACTCCTGTGTATTTCAACGGCGGTCTAGCTGTTAAGGGATTAACGACTGGTTGGGCTGGGAATTCTGGTTCCGGGTGCCAACCGCCACCGCTGCCGCCGTCGCAGTTGTCATGGCGCCGTCGATCGGCCAACACGTCCGCAAATCTTCTTCGCCTGTACCCTTTATCCGCCAATCAACCCAACAAGCGATTTTTAAGTTATTCGCACACCAGGAATAAGTGCTTTATCTCAGGGCCCAACCATCCATTGAGTTCCGATTACGGAGTGCAGTCTTTTAACGGGGAAACGTCGGATTCTATTATTCTCCACCAACACCCTGCTATCTCAACTTGTAATGGAGGCCTTCAGTGAGCTCCTTCCCCCTATCCTTTTGCTTATTCCCCATCATTGGATTGCATTAAGTTCATTTCGTGTTCTTGTCCAGTTACTGCGTCCATAATTATGTAGTACTGTTACATTTTACTTCTGCAGAACATGCATGGTAACCATTTTTTTGTCATCAGAAAAAACACATTTTTGCTCTTTCTTGACCATTATTATCACGTGTAATCCTTCCATGGGAAATAAGCCTCTACTTCGATTGAACGCTCTGGCAGTTCTTGTCTTTAATATTTTAATTAATGAGAAAATCCTTTTCTGTAGTCACTCTGTCTGTTATCATATTTCTGCTTTGGAATTTGTTCTACATGAAACAATCTGTTAACTCTGGATTTTTGTATTGGTCCAATGATTGGCTGATGGGATTTGATGTCCTTGTGGTGTAATTGGTAATGTGCAAACTTCAAGTCTATTCTTTGCCACCTTATTATTGCTTTTAATGATGATGTTCATTGCGAGTGATTCCTTTAGGATTCATAAAATTGAGAATGAGTTGGAAACTATTTCCTTGAGTCCATCTCAAATACCAGACATCAGGCGTGAGCTTGTAATGCTGTCTTTGCCTGCCATTGCGGGTCAGGCAATTGAGCCTTTGGTGCAGTTGATGGAGACAGCTTATATTGGCCGCCTAGGTAAGGTGGAAACCATGGATACTCAATTTAATAGTCAGTTCATCATCCAAAGCACTACCATTTTTATGTTTGCCTTTCTGTATATGGTTTTTTGGTATACTCCTTTGTTTTTTTTGGTTCTTTCTGGTGTTTGCTTGGTGTCAAGAATCAAAGAAAGATGTAATTGTGGATGTTGCTGCTGTAAATCTTGTTTGTTGAGTTAGTGCTATGATGGTACTCGTGTCGTAAATATAAATTGACTTCAAAACATACACAATCCCTAATGTTTCATCAAGCTGACCAGCTAAGAGCACAAGGTGAGTAATGCATGAACTATAAACTAAATCGGGGCTGTTTTTCAACACTTGACTGCTGTTGGTTGAACTTCAATGTCAATCCAAACTAATCTTGAAGACCTCTTTCTTTGCTTTGTGAAATTGGAGCCAAAGCTTGTTTATTTTTTGAGATTTTAATTGGTGTAAATATTATGAAAATCATGTATCTTGACATTGATTTTTTTTAGCGTTCTGTAAAAAAGGTGATTGAGTGGCTAAAGCTATGGTAGAATGCTAATATCAGTATGTTCTGTGTTACTCTGAGGTTTTTCATTGTATTTTTGGTCCACAGGCTCTTTGGAGTTGGCTTCTGCTGGTGTCTCCATAACAATATTTAACACCATTTCAAAGTTATTCAATATTCCTCTGCTGAGTGTTGCTACTTCTTTTGTGGCTGAGGACATCTCAAAGAACATAAGCCAAGTTTCTGCAACAGGTTGGTTGGATGAGACACGCTCCCTCAAAAACTCAGATTCACCCAAAAAAAAAGATGAAAAATTGTTGAGGTACCTAATTTTTGTTATTGCAATTTTGTGTAGAAATGGGAGACAGCACCAATGGGAAACCATTTGATGCCCAAGTGGGAAGGCAGCAGCTATCCTCTGTATCTACAGCTTTAGTTCTAGCAATTGGCATTGGCATATTTGAAGCCTTAGCATTGTCATTTGGATCCGGATTTCTTCTCAATTTGATGGGCATATCACATGTATGTTCTTCTCCTGATATTTATTGGTTGTTTGCCTTGTGGGTACACATTGGCCAGGCACTTGCTTGTGCTTTTGTTTTGTTTTGTTGATTCTCATACTTGACCATTTGGGTTCGTGATGCCTCATAGCTTCCTTAAATTATTTTACTTGAGTAATGTGGTTCCTCTATCAAATGCAATCACTTGGCATGCAAGTGTCGCTTGATGCTGAATTTTCCTTGCCTAGCTTCTCGCACGCAAGTTGGTTTATTGATTGGGATGTACCTTCATTTGCAACTAATTTATGCACATGCAAATGTGCTTGACTTCTTTGAGTTATTAGTGATTCAATGTCAAGGAATTTGATGGAGAAAAGAGAGTAGCTCTCGGTTGCTGTTAAGAATAGTGCAACTGTCTTGAAACTTGTGCTGTTGCATTTTCACTTGGTAAAAACTAACAATGGCCCCTGCAATAACTCAGGAATCATATGTTATTCTATATGTACTATGTTTAAGAGTGGTCAACCCCACACACAAACACCATGTCATAAAATCTCTTAAATTTACACGTAATAGTTTACTTGAGTTTTTCTGAATTAGTGGTACTCTGCTTGCAAACTTGCTTGCTTATACTTGAAACAGTTTTTAAATTTGTAGACGCATTATAAATACCCATAGTTCAATAAATTCCATTGGCTCCACTGGTAGTCACATATCATTGAAATGGGTTTTGACAGGGTTCTCCTATGCGTGCCGCAGCAGAACAGTTTCTTGCTCTGAGAGCACTTGGTGCTCCTGCTTTTGTTGTTTCTTTGGCTCTCCAAGGCATTTTCCGTGGTTTTAAGGATACAAAGACTCCAGTATTTTGTCTAGGCAAGTGCTTAACTTGAGCTTTGGAAGTTTCAGCATTTATCCTCAGTACTTGTACAAGGTGTCAAATACTTTTAAGAGACAAACGAAGAGAAACATGCTCTGTAGTCTTACTAACGTATCTTCTCCTTGTTCAATCTCTATTCAGTTACTTTTAAACTCAGTGTACTATTGTTTAGGTCAATGAATGGCCCGTGAGATATCATCATATTCTTGTTTTCCTCTGGCCCCTTTAATGGATAATAGATGAGCAAATGAAATTATCTTTGATTTGTGAAAGTTGCTAACAGTTCTTAGAGCCACTTTTGTAGGCTACTGTTCTAACAATTTTCTGTTCCATTTTTGTTTTGGTTGCAATGTTTGATTTTATGTACTTGGTCATCTCGTCAGGGCTATAAACTGGTCTTGAATGCTTGTATGAGAAACTTGGTTGTTCTGTCATGAAGTTGCTTGTGGTTCAGGCTGCATTTTGTTTGTGCAGCCCTGGTTTAAGCTCTGGGAAGTACTTAAACTAGTATGTTGTTTAAAGGAGGGGGGGAAAAAGCTGTCTGTGTAAGAGATAATCATCATTACTCTATATGTGAAAGTTAATTACTCAGATGTGGAAGAATCTGGAGATAATTGAGAACATTGAGATTCTTCATAAAAGTTTTTCTAATGTAAACTAGTTTGTGTTAATCCAGATCACTTCAATTCAATCACAATGGAGATTTCCATTGTGTTGTTCAGAGTAACTTCTTTCTCATGTCTCCGGTACTCAAAAATCTTGATGGGTGTAATAGTAATCTTGCAGTACAGGATGCAAGTGCTTGAGAAGGTGTTTGGGATTTGAAAATAATTTTTGCCCCTGCTATTTTATACTTTCATACTGCTTTCAATCTCAAAATTGTTGGTAAATATGCATTGATCTTTGCAATACCCTGGACTCCTCTTTTTTTGTGCTGTGCTAATTCTGAAACGCTGTAGCTCTGATGTAACACTTGCTTTAATGTTTTTGAGCTGTACGCCCAAACCTTTTAATGGGTGGCAAGAAGAATTTGTTCAGGAACATTTGTGACTCAGTTGCAACATTGAGTTAGGGACCAGTTGCAATAGCTTAAGCTCTGGCAGAATAGAGTAGTTGATGTGTTTATAAATGTTTAAGTTTAGAAGATACAAGTTATGCTTGTCAGATTGCAGTTAGTCTCCTAATATCTAATTCAAGTCCAGCTTTATACAATTTTTCTTTTCTAAATGGAGATCTACTTAACCTATAAATCAGAACTGCAGTTGTCTCACCTTCTGAAATATTTGTTTGTTTCTATTGGATTGTTGACAGTGCTGCTATTTGCAGGTTTTGGTAATTTTACAGCTATACTTTTGTTTCCATTACTTATGTATCATTTTGGACTGGGTGTATCTGGAGCTGCAATCTCTACAGTCATATCGCAGTATGTTCCTTTGGTGTCTGCTTTTACCTTTTTTTTTTGCTATCTATTTTTCCTTATTGTTGTGTTTTTGAACAAGCTTATTGATTTAACCTTCTACTTGTTCCAGATACATCGTGACCTTTGCAATGATCTTATTTTTGAATAAGAGGGTTGTACTACTGCCCCCAAAGTTTGGAGAGTTGCAGTTTGGGGTTTATCTGAAATCTGGTGAGTGAACATATGTGCAACTACTCTAGCAAAATCATTTTCTCATTTCCTTCTATAGAACATTGATAATTCTTTGAGGGTTAGCATATGTAGTGGACAAGAAAATAACTGTACAGATTTTATCAGATTGTCTCCTCTGATTCTTGACACTTACAGGTTCTAAGTCTAGGAAGGCTTATTTAATATCGATTCTGATCATTAAGTATTGATGTAAAGGAGGTCAGATGCTGTACTCTCTTGATATGGTGGTAGTATATAATTCATAGATCTTTTATATGCCTCCCCTTGAGGAGTTATATGTTTCATAGGGAAGCATTTTTGAGACTTGTAATTTTCAATTTCTGTTGTCGAACTCTGATGGTAATAGAGATTAGCCAAAGTGTTTTAGATTTTTGAGTTTATTTGTTCATGTTGGAGGTGGTTTTTTTCACATCTAAGTTCTATCTGTTTGTTATATTCTTGGACAGGTACATTTGAATAGACACGTTTCCTATATGTCCACTGTTTGGTTTAGGAAAGTATTTTTTGGGTAAAAAAGGGAAAGTTGAATTCTGTGCTGTGCTGTGTAGATTGTGAGGTTGACTATTCGAAGCTTACTCAAAGCATGCTGGCCTTACCAAGCCTAACCCTGTCGTGGTCAACATATCAGCTTGTATATAGAATTTTGGTAATAGACAAACAATGAACATGTTGGGGATTCAATGTAACTGGTCGAAAGGTCAAATGTTCCTGGACTTTGACATAAATGTTTGTACAACTTTTGCTCCAACATGGCACCAAATTCTGCCTGATTGTTCTTGAGTGAAACAACTTTTTGCAAACTAAATTCTGAATTTTTCTGAAAACCCTTTTTGCAAAATAAATTGTGAACCTTTGAGTCACATGATTTGTTCATTCTGTACTAGAAAGCCTCCCATTTTTGCTTTCTATCTAACATTACTTCACTGCTTTTTTAGGTGGCTTTCTAATTGGGCGAACCCTTGCTGTCCTTCTGACAATGACACTTGCCACGTCAATGGCTGCTCGCCAAGGTCCTGTAGCAATGGCTGCTCATCAGATATGCTTCCAAGTATGGTTGGCTGTATCTTTGCTCACAGATGCTTTGGCAGCATCATCTCAGGTATATACAAATATGTGTGGATGTAGAAGATATGGCAGTACCTTGTGTTCGTTTTCCCTCCTTTTGTGCTAATATCTTTTACCATACATCTTTTGTATCTGACATTTCTTTCTTTTACCTTTCTTTCCTTGATTTTTTCCTTCAGTTTTGAACTTGGAAAAATAGTGAAAATTGTAGGAGGCTATAGAATGCCTTTTCATGGACTACTTTTGCAAACATTCATTTGTACCTGTTAATTTATCCGACATTACTGGTGGATTTTTGTTCTTAAAAAGGATTAGAACACTTTCAGGTAATAGTGTGATTTGGCTTAATTGAGTTGTAATATTTCAGTGTGTTGACAGTTAGCAGGTTTGGTGGCTAATACTTATATATTTTTGCTGCAAATAGTTTTACTGTATATCTGTCTGACAGTATTTAATTTTGTCGGTTAGGTCTTGATTGCCAGTTATTTATCAAGAGATGATTATGGAACTGTCAGGGAACTTACACAATTTGTATTGAAGGTATTTGTTACTTCACCTTTTGGTCCTTTTGTTGTGCTTCACTACATCTTTTGTCAACTTTTGTTTGCTTTCAATTTTTTCTATTGGAAATCCATCTTTCTGGTTATTTATCATATTTTGTTACCTTAATCTCATTGAATAATCTTGTTTTCAGATTGGGATATTCACGGGAGTTTCTTTAGCTGTGGTTCTGGGTGTTTCATTTAATTCGCTGTCCACTTTCTTTACAAAGGACACTGAAGTATTAAAAATCATTGCAACTGGTGTACTGGTACAGTTCACATATCTCACCGTTTTTTATTCCCGTTTAGTTCTCTTCTGGAAAATGCATGCTGCTTATACTTTTGTGAAACTGTGCTTCTGAATATTATGAAACTTATGCAGTTTGTCAGTGCTAGTCAACCTATAAATGCTTTGGCATTTATTTTTGATGGCCTTCATTATGGTGCTTCAGACTTCCCTTATGCTGCTCGTTCTATGGTATCTCCTTTTCCCTCTCAAGCCTTATATGTGCACTTGCATACAAGTAATTTATCTTAAATAATTTATGTTATATAAATCATAGATGCTGGTTGGGGCCATATCTTCTGCATTTTTGCTATATGCTCCAGCAAAGTTTGGTCTCCCTGGTGTCTGGTCAGGCTTGATTCTCTTCATGGCATTGCGAATGATGGCTGGATTTATCAGGTGAACTGTTGCATGAGGCATATTTTTCGGTGTAAGTTGTAATTTAATCGGCCTCTTTTTTCGTTATTGTTATGTTAATGGAGTGAGTGTTGGTTTTCAGAATAATGTCAAAAGACAGTCCATGGTGGTTTCTGCATGGTGACTTTAATAGAGCCAAGGTTAGTAACTCCTTTTTATTTTACATGATTGCAGTAGTTCTCCAAACTCCCCTCGTAATTATTAGCCCCCCTTTCTGGAGTCATTGTTTTTCTTGGAGCTGTTGTGAAAAAGCTTTTTTTTTTTTTGGTTTCTTCTGGGTTTGGATGACCCAAAATATAGCAACATTTCTCAAGATTACAATGATTTTCAGCTTACTGGGTGAGAAGTCTGGATGGAAGTGATTGGGACTACAGTGGACATACACATACATTGGATGCAAGTGATTTTGGGACAGCATTGAACATACATACATTGCTGCTGTGGTTACCTTGGCTGGTCTTGTCATCCGGAAAGCGAAGAAGTTATTGTAAGACGAGATCCAGGGAGCTCTTCTTTGTGGTATTTTTCTTTTGGGGGGAGGGCGGAGTTTAGGGAGAAAAAGTGGTTTTGAGGTTTATGATTGAAACTGTAGAGTGATAGACAGAGCAGCTACTGATTTAGCAATAATTGTTGCTTCATCAACTTTAGTATTATCGTTTTGCTCCTTCAACGCAACTCCCAGGCACAAAAACCACTGGAGAATAACCCTTTTTTTTTTGACAGTGCATAAATTTGCAGGCAACGAGGATGAAATCATCTGCAAATCGGCTTTTTATGTAAGAAGATTACCCAATTAGGCTTGGCCGAAGCCAGAGCGACATCATGCTGAATGAGTGCATCAAGACATCCGTTTCACAACAAACCGATTATGGAACATTCATCTATCAAGCACGAAAGCAAATTAGGAACTCAGAAATCATCAAGGCTTCAATCAAGTATGCATGAAACAATCATGGAGTACGATATCAACCTACTATTCAAAGAGAGCATAAATTTGTAGTATTCAACAACCAATCTAGTAAAACTTTTGTTATTTCATTCTTATTCCGGTAACTCCGAGTCAAAGGCTAAACAGATTTACTCCAAAGAATAGCACATCACCACCGCAAATGCTGCAACAGAGCAACGTAAGTAAAAAAAAAACTCAAAATTGACACAAGGCTAATGTGTAAATACATGACAAGAATGATTCTTCCATTTAACAGTCCGAGAGAGAGGTTGCAGATGCTTAGTCCAGATTTGCTATGACAGCATCCACAACTTCTTGGGTGTTGCTGTCTCCACCGAGATCTTTAGTTCTGTATTTACCCTCTGCTATTACACGTTTCACTGCAGTTTCTAGTCGATCAGCAAATGATGGAAACTGCAGATGTCTCAACATCATGGCTGATGAAAGAAGCAAAGCCACGGGGTTAGCCTTCCTTTGGTCCACTACCTTCTCATTCCCCACATTTCCAGCTGATGCACCTTGCTCAAAAACAGCATGATCGGCCCCAACATTACCTACAGTAAACCAAAATTATAAGTACACCAGAGTGACTGATATTTCAATCCCAGCTTGAGCAGATTGAAAATGCAAAATCTGCAGCTTGAAGGATGCTGTTCAATATCCCCTCGAATGAATCCGAAAATAATAAAATATCTCAAACCATTGCTTTTGCAAATCAAAGTACCTCCAGGCATGACACCAGTGCCTCCAGCAATACCAGCTGCTGTATTTGCCACAAGATTCCCATACAGGTTTGGAGTGACCTACAAAACACAAATTTGCAACCAATAAAGGCATTCAGGCTGAGTACAGTAAGATGGTCAAATCATGGAAACTGGACACATTTTAAGGTTTTTAATTTGGTGAGTCTAGCAGGGAGGAAAGGACCCGTCCACTTTAACAGCCCCTTTATCTGTGGCTTGACGTAGATGAAATACTAATCAAATTAAACTCTGCAGATTTATTCTTTTCATACAGAAGATAAATAGGATGCTTAAGAATAAACAGATCGTAGCAGCCGTTCAACATGATAAGAACTACGTCCCTTTTGTGGATGTGTCCAGATTTTTATTAATAAAAGGATGATGACCCTGTTTAAATGCTGATTCCAAGTCCTAAAGCTTGGCAGATTTTCTAAATTTCAAAACTGCAGCACCAACACCAAACCTATTAACATCTGCTATTTACAAGATCTAATTTTCCAGTTCTCCCCAAGCTTACAGACATAGGTAATACACGGGTAATAGATATAGGTAGGCCAATAAAATGCTTTTTTTTTTTTGGGTCTCAAATCACTCGCTCATATTTCTGAGCATAACTTTTGTTCATTCCCTAATCTTAGTAACTTCTTTCAAGTTCAAAGGCATACATGACAGACACTGCATTATAAATAAAAAGAAAAAGGAAATAAACCAAATAAATGTGGTTCCCCGCTACCTCACTCCAGCATGAACGTGCAGTTATACTCTTTTTTTCCCCCCTCTTGATCACCCCTGTAAATGACAACCATGTGGTCTTTTCACTCCCAAGCCTGCCAAAAACTAGTTTCCTCTCCCCTTTCACACTGTCTCTAACATCAGGCATCCCAGCGCCAAGGACTGCAAAGGACTCAACACCTCCTCCCAGCAAGTCCTATAGCGCACAACACACTGACAAACTGCCTCCTTCCCCCAATTACACAACGCCCCCTTCCAGAACACACGCACAGAAAAAGCTGGAATTAACATATAAACCTGATGCGAAAAGACAGAAATCTACGCTATTTGGGACACAGATCGGTCAACAAACCAGGAGTACACTGCATACACAGTTCATTTTGAACCCGGATCATTTGTCCATAATACTACAACCTTGTGCAAGAGAATTTGGCGCATGATGCTTGCAGCAGAGGCAGGTTGGTCGGATGTGGGCTCTTAAATAATGAATGAAACAAATAAACGTAGAGATAAGAGAAGAAGGTGGAAAAGGATTTGATACCATGACATCAAATTGCTCTGGCTTGGAGACGAGTTGCATGCAGCAATTGTCCACAATGACCTCATTGTACTTGATACTGGGGTATTTGCTGGCAACCTCGCGACAGGATTCTAAGAAAAGACCGTCAGCAAGTTTCATAATGTTGGCTTTGTGGACGGCAGTAACAATCTTGCGATTGTTGAGATAGGCATACTCAAAGGCGTATTTAGCGATTCGCTCAGAGCAGAACTTTGTCATCACCTAGGAAAGAGGCTAAATGAGAAACCAACCAACCAACTAACCAACCAACAAGATAGATGATACGCAAATCTCAGATTAAATGGAAAGAAACTAGGTAGTATATAGATGTACTACTTAATAGATTTTTTTCAAAAGAAAAAACGAAGGAAAAAAAAAGGGGAAAAAACCTTGAGGCTCTCGACGACGCCAGGAACGACCTCGTGCTCGAGGCCGGAGTATTCGCCCTCGGTATTCTCCCTAATGACGACGATATTGACGTTATTGTGACGGGTGGGGAGGCCCTTGAGATTAAAGCAGTGGACGAGGGAAGCGTAGAGATCGAGGTCCTTGCGGAGCTGGACGTTGAGGGAGTGAACGCCGCCGCCAACGGGGGTCTTGAGGCCGCCCTTGAGGCAGACCTTGTTCTTGCGGATGGAGTCGATGACCTCGGGGGGGATGCTCTTCATGTCGCCGTGGACGTCGTATTTCTCGAAGTAGACGGGGGCGTGCATGGCGTCCATGACCTGCTCGACGGCGCCGGTGACGAGGGGGCCGATTCCGTCACCAGGAATGAGGGTGACGGCACGGGGAGCGCCGTCGCCGGGACGAGGCATGTAGGTGACGGATCGGGCAGAGGAAAGGCGGGAGGGGCGGAGGAGGTGGTGGAGGATCGGTTTTAGGGATCGTCTGGCCATATTATTGTTTTCTTCTCCACAAGTGACTAATAGTCGTAATGATCAGAACGGAATTCGAAAAATATAAATTAATTACTCCTACTGCTACTTGCTTTAGTTGTTAGGGGTTTGGCTTTCTTCCTTCCTTCTTTCCTTCCTTTCACGTAATCCTTCGATTGAGTTCGGGAAGACCAAAAAAAATTTACAGGCCCAGACTGAAATGAACGAGGGAGGGAGAAGAGAGAGGAGCGATGATCATCGGTTCACCCCCAAATTAAAAAAAATATGATAAGAATAATAATACAGATGGGGCCCACACCCACTGCCACAAGACTTTTTTTTTTTTTTCTTTCTTGAAAAAGAGCCACAGGACTGACTGCTTCTCTTCGTTCCTTTCTTGTTTTCTCCCTTCAATTAACTACTACTAGTATTTTGAACCGTGCTATGCACGGGTTATATTTCAAATCAAAATAATATTATATATATTTTATATATTGTGGTTCAGAATAATAAATATATATAGATTAAAAATTTTAAAAAAATGTATGCTTAATATTTTGAAATTTTTTTTTAATCTATAATGATTTATATGATAAAAGAATTGTTAACACATTAAGGAGAGGATTAAGTTGGGTGGTAAGATGAGAAGAGTTTTTAAAAAAAAAACCAATTTATCAATATCCGACAAAACATATTATGTTATACCCTAATTAGAGTGACATTTTGATCCTCATTTAAAAAAAAAAATAATAATAATAACAAGAGTACATCATTACAACAATTGAACTCGAGAAATTCGGCACAATGGCGTAAGATGAGATATTTTACTGTAGCAGAATTTTTATAGTATATTTTAAAATATTTAAGAGTAGAAGAGTTTTTAAAATATATTTTGAAATATTTTTTAAATATTAGAAAAAATTTCGACAACTTTTTAGAATACCTTTTAAAAATTAATAGTATTTGAAAAACTAATTTTTAAAAACTCTTGAATCCAAACACAGCCACAGTTTAAGAAAAAGTAGTTAATTTTATTAAAAAAATAAATTTAAATTGTTATTTTTTTAAAATACTCTTACATTAAATAAAATTGGCTTTTCATATATCAGTATATTTTCAAAAATCTAAATGCATTAAATAGGATAGGTTATACTCAATACTAACAATCTATATTAAATAAGGTAGTTTATAGTAATAACAATTTACATTGAATAAATGTATTTTAAAAAAATTAAAAGATAATTATATTATTCGATTGAAAAGTGAATTACAGTTTGAGACGGACGAAAAAAGAAAACAAGACTATTAAAGTGGAACGAAGAAAATAATAAGAAGAAGAAGTCAGAAGCGTGACGTGGTCTCTTGGCCTTTTGATTATGGGGCTGCAACTCAAACCACAGAGACATTTATTGCTGAAAAAAATTGGAAAAATCCACCTACCTGCCAATGAAAAGTTTACCTGGCGTGTGTGGTGGCCTCAAAAGGTTTTTTTTTCTCTCCTTTTTTGTTTATTGGAACACAAAACTGGAACTTATATACTATTAATGATGATATTGGATAGAGTAGTAACATTACAACGAGCTTGCACCGTTGTTGTCCACAAGTAGATAGTAAAAGGAAAAAAAAAGAAGGCCTTTTGCTCTCCGCCTAATTTATCCGTGAACGAGAAATGGTAGCAGCAGTCATTGACCATCTGTCATCCCACGCATGTACTTTCGGCTCTGTTTTTGAGAAATACAGAAAACATTTAATCGTGATAAAATAGCAAGATGTGAAACATTTTTGAGAAATACTGTAGCCAATTTTTATTGTATCTCATATATATGAGATAAAAAGGTGATTGGAAAATATAATCACGAAAAACGTTATCAATTTTTTTTTGGAAAATTGCTGTCCAAACAAGGCTACAATATTTCTCAAAAATGTTTCACATCTTGCTATTTCATCACGATTAAATGTTTTCTGTATTTCTCAAAAAAAAAAAAAAAAATAAAAAAAAAAAATATATATATATATATATATATATATATATATATATATATATATATATATATATATATATATATATATATATATCATGATGAAATAGCAAGATGTGAAACATTTTTGAGAAATACTGTAGCCTTGTTTGGACAGCAATTTTCCAAAAAAAAATTGATAACGTTTTTCGTGATCACATCTTCCAATCACATTTTTATCTCATATATATATATATATATATATATATATATATAACAAATCGCTACGGTATGTTTTTTTTTTTTCTTCTTAACGAGTGTGCATGATGAGAAACAACTATCCTTTCTTTCGCTCGAAATAGCACGTCATAAACAAGAGTATGTTTAATACTACTACTTCAATACTCTGCAGAAACAAAATCCATATAAACAAGAAACACATACACTACTGATTATCTCCAGCACCTTACGTATAGGAATGCATTCCTAATTTTTTTTTTTTTTTTTTTGATAATAGGAATGCATACATCTCAAATTTAGCCATCACTGATGTCAAACTTGTACACATAAAAAGACACCAATCCCGTCCTCCTCCGTTTCATGTCTAAACTGCATTTTTCTATCCTCTAAATTGCGATGCAAATAACCAAACAAAATTCTCTGTCAAACTTACAAATACCTCGAGCATCATCGATGAAGAATGACAAGAACATAGGAGCATAATCAGACAATCTACAGCTGACCATAAAAGAACAATAGAAGTAACATCAGCCTACAAAAATGTTTCTAGCTATATATCAATGTTGACAATATAAAGTACATGACGACAGAAAAACTGGAAGGAGAAGGTAGTATAAAACCTGCCTACTTCATCAAGCATCCAACCGGTCCCCTCTTATGTCCCACAAATATGTAGTCATCGTCTTCCTATTCAAGAAAAGTGCAAGTAATGACGTTGAACTCCTCTCCAATCAGTGCCGCTCCCAACAGCAGTCCCAAATGTACAAATATCATATGTTCCTTGCAGCATCCATAATCAACTCTCAATGGGCTGGGGGAGCAGCAGCAGCAGCACTACTTCCTAATCCCATCTTATGTCCCAGCGACGCTAGCTGCTCCACAAACTCTCCACCAGTGAGAATCTCTGTTGTGCCGTAGATAACATGTCTTACAGGCTGCTGCCGGTGAGCCAGCTCCAGCAGACTTCCGTACTCCACATAGTTTCCACCACCAATCATAAACACAATAGCTTCTTTAAATGGTCCTTTCAGGTGACTGCTGCTCGCTCCAGAGCTCGATTTTGGAGCACGGGGATCAAAAGCAAGATAGGATTCAACTTCAGGATTTGGTTTTCCCTCCATTAGCGCTTCCACCGTTCTTGTCAAGGCTAACTGATGATCACTAGACAACAGATTCTTCACACCAGCAGTGACAGCGCTAATTGACTGCCCGTAGAGTCTCTCAGCCCAATCAACAATGTTGCTCCTGCTAGCGGCACTTGCTGATGACAACGAAACATTTAACGACTTTATCCTCTTGACATACTGGAATGCGCTAGTATCCACCTCAGACTCCCTCAATGCCGATTCGACCATTTCAATCTCTGACTGCGGGATGTTTTCAGTAGAAATAAGACACATGATAGCAAAGCGCAGCTTATCCGACTTGGACCCCTTTCCCTTGAGCACTCCTACGAGCTCATTTCGATCAATTCCACCCCTCACCATCATGTCACTCTCTTTCTTGGCATAGGAATCAAGAGACCTCTCCTTGATCTCACCCAACAGCGCAGTAGCAATATTAGTGTGCTTGTCAATCACGTTCTTCCGTTCAGTCAGCTCCGGAAGAGAATTGACCGCATTCATCAGATGCTTAGTGTTACCATCGAAGTCCACATCACCGCCTCCACCAGTCTTCCTGTTGACTTCCTCCACATCCTTCTTGTACTTGTTCAACTGAGTCTCAATCTCAACAGCCACATCCGGGAACTCCAACGCTCCGTTTGCAACCCAGAAGGGATCAGACCCATCCAGCTCGTAGGATTTCATCCCGCCCTTCTCGCCCTGCACATTCAGCTTATTCAGTCTCAATCCGAGCACATCGTGGACCAACGGCCTATACCTAAAGTCGTGCTGAATGGCCACCGACAGCTCAAAATTCCGATCGAAAATGCACAAGACGGGCCTCTGGAAGGAGCTGGCGAAGTTTCCGCCCTCGGTAAAGAGATTGTTCTTGGCCAAGAGATGGTCCTGCAAACGCTGATCCAGGCGGGAGGCCACCATCTCGGCAGGGCCGCCGCGGGGGCACCTAATCACGGGAACAACGGAAAGAGTAGCCAGGACGGAGAAGAGGCCGGCGACGATTCTGTCAACGATGTCCTCAATGTCCTTGTCCCCGGCTGAGGGATCATTGAGCTGAAGGTAGCAAGCCTTGTGGGCGAGGGAAAACAAGTTATCTTCCAAGGTGACAAACTCCAAGTAGTGATCGTGGACTTTGGAGATGCGGTGGATGGAGTCGGAGTTGAGGGTACCGGAGGCTAGATCTTCGAGCAAGGGCCTGGGAATGGAGGAGGAGAAGTTGAGATGGAAGGAATCGTAGAGGGAATTGGAGGCGTCGAGGACGATGCGGCGGATGTTGTGGGGAGTGGGCTGGACGAAGTAGAGGGCAGGGACGTCGAGGACGGGCTTGCGGTCCTTGTCGATGAGGAAGTAAAGGGTAACGCCGTGCTTGCGGAGGTCCTTGACGTGGATGAGGGGAGAAAGGATGTCTTGGCAGAAGCGATCGTAGATCAGGATCTTGTAGACCTCCTCGTCGTCGCCGGCGCCGGCTCCGGGATTCAGCGGTTGGTTCAGATTCAGCATGCGGAGAATGCAGTCTGGAAGGATTTTAATGTACTCCACTAGTTAGTATTCAATCAGTATATATATATTTTTTAATTTCTGGAAGGTCAGAACAAACAAAAAGAAATTGCAACAAAGATTGAAGAGAGTTACCGGTTTGCTTTTGCCGGAGATTCAGCGCCATGTCTTCTCTAATCAAAGTGACGATCAAAGACCCACGAGGATTTTCTTTTCTTTTTTTCTTTTTCTCCTTTTTCCTGTTGGAGGTAATTAGATACTACGAGGACTTAATCTGAGAGAGAGAGAGAGAGAGAGAGAGAGAGAGAGAGAGAGAAGTTTTGTAGAGTGTTGAGAGAGAAAAACCCAGCCAGAAACTGGGGGGCTCTTTCTGATTTGGGGTTAGGGGAAGGAGATGTCAGGAGACGGGTCACCCATGACCCACCCGCACCCGCGACGTGGTTGCCCTGATATGTAAACGGTTCCTTTTGTGGGCACAAATGAGGGTCGGGTAGATTCCACTCCAGGCCAAGTTGGGCCTATCTATCTGTCTGTATAAAACTAAACTACACCAAACAAAATTAGTACTACTTTGGGGCGGGGGAAATGGGGAGGAGCAGTGGCAGTGGTGGTGGTGGTGAATGTGAAGCTGAAGCTGAAGGTGGAGCAACAACCTCGTCGTTGGCGCTGAGGAACAGATATTGGGTGCTGAGACACGGCAAAAGCATCCCTAATGCCAAGGGTCTTATCGTTTCTTCGCCGGTAATTTCTGTTTCTTATTTAATTCTCGCTTCCCACTCCTCTTCCTCCTGGATTTGATGATTTCTTTCAACATTTCTTGTTTTTTTTTTTTCTTTCTTTCTTTTAGTACATTTATCAAGCATGTACGTATCTTGACAGGAAAATGGGATTCTTGAAGAATACAGATTAGCTCCTGAAGGAGTTGATCAAGCTAGACTCGCGGGCCGGTCCTTCCAAAAGGCATTTCTTTGTCCCTATATACTCTGTTTTATTCTACACAAATTTCTCAGTTTGCCTCCGGATTTTATAAGCTTTCCGAATTGCTTTAATATTTCAAAGTTCACAAGTAATCATTCATTGCCATGCATGCTTCTCTGGCAGCATTTCTAGGCTGCAAAGCAGTCTGGGTTTTTCGTGTGGTGTTGAAAGAGTAAGACGGGATGAAATATTGGTTTCCTGGCCTTTCACTTCTTGGACTCTGTTCCTACTTCTCCTTTAATCCTTTACTGAATCACGTTTTGAAACCCTAGATTATGGTGATCGTTAGTAAGTTTCCAGTTGTTTATTTCCGACTTAATTAGCTGTTCAGGACCGGATTGTCATAGGACCCTTGAAATTAGAATAAGTTTGCATTCCTCTTGTTATCACCAGCGCATTCTATTTCTCTGAATTTTCAACAGTCCTTTATTTAAAAACATGCTTGAAAATCTTCTGTGTAGAGAAGATGATCAAGTTCTGGTATATTTAATAGTTGCTAAAGCTGAAACTTGCTTTTGGATGGTGCATATGCTACCTTTCTTTTTTTTTTTTTTTGTTTAACAAAGAACCAAAATAAATAAGTCGAATCTGGATACGTCTGTGCACTGATATGTTATATGGTATGCAGATGCTGTTGGAGAACAACATACCGCTTGAAAATGTCCGAATCTGCTACTCACCATTCTCAAGAACCAGTCACACTGCAGAAGTGGTTGCATCTGTTATGAATCTTCCATTTGTTGGACCACAATGTAAGGTAATCATCCTATTCTTTGAGGTGATTGTACTGGAAATAGCTTCCGACATGACTGAACTTGAATTTGGAAATGGATCTCAATTCTCAAGCCACAAAAGTAGTTCTATACTAGCTTAAAATGCTAAGATCACAGGTCATGACGAGAAGGTGAAGACAATAAAAGGGGAAAGTGAAACAACAAACTAGTTGCCATTAGATCACACTTGGAGCCTACTCCCAACATCTGATAGCTTCTTCTTCCTTTATTTTTATTTTTTATTCTCTTCGAACCTGCTTGCAAATTGTGATTCTTGAAAGAGTTGCATAATTACTTGAAGAGTATCTTTTCCTACAGAGGCAACTCCGAAGGTGCTAATTAGGAAACAGCACTCCTTCAGCTTAAACTAAACCACAAATAGGAGCAAAAAGAGGGACAAGGGCATGTTAAAGTAATTTGCAACTTAACAAAACCTGGAGTCATCGCAGTTTAAGAGAATGAAAGACGGGAAACAAAGAAGCCATTAGTACAGAGGTTGAGACCTCCTTTATCTTATTCTATTACGAATCCTCTATATCTTCAACAATGCCAATCTCAAGCCAGACATACCTATATGATCCCTTTTTGGACCAGTAAAACGTTCAAGTGCATGTGAGTCTGTGCTTGAATTTTTCTTTTTCATTTTTGTTTTGTTCTTTTGGTTTTGAAAATATTTTTTAACTGTACAGGTTATTGGTGATCTTCGTGAACGTTACTTTGGACCCTTTTACGAACTTGCATCACATGATAAAGTAAGCAACAAGTTTGAGAAGTTGGAGCAGCGGATGCTGAATCATTTCGATCCTCTCAGTCTCTAACTGCTGATGAATCATTCGTTGTGTGGACAGTAATCTGAGCTCATGCTTGAATTTATTTTTTTCCATTTCTTTTACTGGCAGTACCTGGAGATATGGGCTCTGGATGAGAAAGATCCATTTCTGCCGCCTGAAGGTGGAGAAAGTGTTGCAGATGTTGTTACTAGACTCACAGAGGCTTTGGTTAGCATGGAGTCAGATTTTGAAGGGTAAGACACTGCTCTTTACTTTACCATTGGTAATGCAGCATATACTGTTTCCAGCAGATATTGCTACTGATGTATTTAAATGTGTTTTGTTATTCCTTGATTCTAGTACTAAAATATATGAATAGGGTAAAAAGTCTTAACAGCATTGTGAGTGGCCAAATCTTGTCATGCCTCCCTAAGTTCAGAATAGGGCGGTAAAAAAATGAAGAGATGGCTTTGTTATTATAAGTGCCTGATGCCTTGAGCAAATAGGGCACTAATAATGCTGTACTGCATAAAGTAGATTTATAAATTATGCATTCCAAACTTTTACTTAAATGATAGCCTGGAGAAAGGGTGTTCTGCTACGGGGCTGAACTGCATGTCACCTAATTGCTACTAGTGCCTTTGAGGCTCTATGCCAACATTTTTGCAATCATTAAAGATACCAAGTGCTATCATCTAATAAAAATAACGACAGCCTCTTATTCCATCACCTTGTATGTGAAGTTCCATATTTCTAATTAACACATAACTCGTTCCTGAATCTGCTTAGCCTTGTAAACGTCACCTTAAGGAATAGGCTTCAGGAGGCTGATGCAAAATGCCACTCTTCTCTGACTGCAGGTGCGCGGTGTTGATTGTCAGCCATGGTGATCCTCTTCAGATTCTGCAGACAATACTCAAAGCAGCTAAGCAAGTGAAGACAGGAGCTGATGAGCAGGACTTAGCATCAAGGATACAGGCAATCAAAGTCAAGTCTGTTCTTTCAAGACATCGGAAATTTGCACTGCTGACAGGAGAACTACGTTCGGCAGAATAAAACAATTAGTAGTGTGCTTTTTCATCTTAGTCTATGGTGACTGGGGAACCTGGTTCAGCAAGAAGTTAATAAAACTTGCGAAATTGGCAAGTCTGAAGTTTTTTCTTTGTTCTTTTACTAGTTAAATTGGATGTCGGTACTGCAATGTTTATAACATTATTATTCTTGAGGGTTGTAGCATGTAAATTAGATGTCTTTCCCTTTTTATTTGTTTCCAGGAGCATTAAATCCTTGTACGAGTGGCAGCTGATATGCAACGTACCAGTAGCCAGTTCAGGTAGTTGGGACTTAGGACTAGTGTTGAATTCTCAGGGTATGCGTCGAAAGTTGCAGTAAGTTCACCGTGTAAGACTTTGAAAAACCAGGAAAGGAGGGCTTTTCGGCCCGCGCGGGGGGTGGTTTACTGCATCTGATGGCTTGTAGCCTAATATCCAAGAATCGTTTTTTATCAAGTCATTGCATAATAAATTTACACTATCCCCTTCCTCTCTTCTAATCCCCCAAAAAACCCCAAACAAAGAAAGTAGAATGTATAGCAGGAGATTTTAAAAAATTGTATTGTGGCCATTTTAAGAGCGAATTAATCTTAAATACACTGATAGTGTATATATTATTAGTATTAGATGCAGGACAACTAATTTGAATTTGAATTTGAAATCCAAATTTAAGACAAAATTTTGTATACACTGACAGTTCATATAAGATTTACTCTTTAATAATACCTCCGGTTAAACATTTGGTAACCAAGACAAAAATTTTGAAAGAAAATGGAAAGTCAATGATATTTTGTAGGAATTAATAAAATTTTCCTATCTAACTAATCATTTGTTTTTAAAATTCTATAAATTCTATAAAACACAAAAAAAATGTAGAAAAGTGTAAAAGAAATTTTGAGACTTTCGTCCTACCAAATATACAAGAAGGAAAAAAAAGTTAAAGTAGCTAAGAAAAAGAACACTTCTTTAAAAAAAAAAAAAAAAAAACTATCTAGGGAGAGACATAGTAAAAGTTCAAACAAACAAGGGGGGAGTAAAGCAAATTACCAATTTTGTGATTTGTTAGTCGTGATTTGTGATTAGAGGAAACCCTCTGGTTCCTAAACCATTTTCAGTACACCCTTTTGATCCCTCAATAATATGTTATCACAAATAAACCCTTCAAAAAAAAAGGTGTCAATATTTAAGAACTTTCATCAGATTTAGGCCACTAATGCTGATGGAATGAGGAGTCAAATTGACCGAATACAAGCATTTCTTAATAGTGAAGTATCTGAGGAGCGCTTAAACTACACTTGTTATCAAATTTTGGCCCTTAATTTAAATTGTCTTAGAGTTATACTTTTAATCTTTCCAGCCTTTTTAGTCATAAGTGCAGTCGAAACTAAAGGACATTTGTGGCCAACTGCTTAATATAATCAAAAGGATTAATGAGAAGAATAAATTTCAGCTTTTACCATACTTAGATTCAGTTTTTTACAAGGCTCAATAATGAAGTCTATTTTTCGTCTTAACCTTTTTGGTTCCGGTTCCGATAGTTATATTAAGTGATTAGGTTCCAAATGTACTTTATGACTAAAATGGCTGAAAGTATACAATTTAATTGTTCAGGACCACTATAGATAGAATTTAGATTAGGAGCCAAAATTTGATAATTGAAATAGTTTAAGGGCTTTTTATGTGCGTTTACCCTAATCTTGTGCTAAATTTGAAGGAACTTTTTAAAGGTAATACATTTTTTGTCGAGAGGATTATTTGTGATAATATGTTGTTGAGGGGCCAAAAGGGAATAATTTA